ATTAACTGTTTTCATTACTGTAAGGACATTCATTCTTAATCTCTTTACACATTATGTTATTCACTGGGCTTTAGCTCACTGTTTATACATATATGTAGGGCACCAGACCGGAGCTAGGAGCGTGGGTTAGACTCCCTTTTTGTCAAGCCAACCACTGTGCCTCACTGCGAGGTTCTGAGCCTGTCAAGCTATGGCTTAGGGGTGTTTTAATTTCCCCCGTCTGTCTCTGTATCTGTTTTGTAATAACTGTATAGACTGGTAGCACTGTACTGTACTGTACTGTACTGTCTAACAGGGATTAGGTTCCTGTTCTGATCGACTATAAATGTTGTACATACTGTTATGTATTGTTCATGTATATACGTATGAAAAATCTTTTTTGCATACAGACTCACAGCTCATTGGACATTGTTTATTTACTGTTTTGGCTTCCGCCATGCCCCTGTACTTTGTATTGTTGTTTGACTGTTAAGCAGACCTTTGGTAATCTCGGGTTACTGGCCGGTTACGGTGCTAAATCCATAGGGGCGGGTTTGGGTCATGACACATGTGTATAGGTAGGTGGCATTTGAACAGATAGTTGAATATTTGAACAAATAATTTGACAGTTAAGTGACTCATGTACAAATACATGACATTTGAACAAATAGGTATATAGCTAAACTTTGAACATATACGTGTTCTTTTGGCCCAAAAAGATTTAAACTTCGTTTTATTGACCCAACAATTTCATAAATGAACCTATGACCTGGGTGTCTTTTTTTTATTTAATTTTGGAGCATTTACACACAAGTCTTAATTTATTAACTTATATTTCATTAAATCCTAACTAAGATTTTTTTAACCTTCAAGTCCCATTAAAATATTAATAGTTGAAATTACCTTTAAACAACGATTGTTCATCATTCATGATTATCTATAAAGAAACATGATGATTTGACATTTATTTTGATTTTCAAAATTTTAAAACATCGACTTTCAAATTCAAAAAAAAAAAAACCTAAATATTTTTTTGAAAAAACTGAATTATTTTTTTGTGCGAAATTGAAAATTTTGTATCTATAAGGAAGCATGATGATGGAACATTGATGTGCAAAAATTGAAAAAAAAAATGAAAATGAAAAAACTGATAATGTTCTCAATTCTAAAATTGAAAAAAACTGAAAATATTCTCGGTTTTATTGGATAGTTGAATCAAACTAATAAGTAGAAAGGCAAAAAGTTTAATCACATGCTCTGTTTTTTTCATCAGTTAGTGAAACAATTACCTTGAATATTACTATGCAAAATTGATATTTTCAGTTTTACTATATAGGACTTATTGGTTAAAAAATCTTAAGTAAGACCTGAGTTACCATAATGTTTGTAAATAGGACTTTGAGGTAATTAACTCTTTAATTTAATTTTAAATTTGAGTAAAAAGTTTGATTTGATATAAAGGGTTATTTATATGGAGACCTTCTAAATTATTGGACTTAAACTTTTAAAGCATACAAATAAATCCCTTAAACTATTAAAAACTATCACTTTATTTGGAGAGTCTTCATGTAAATAATTTTAGAATTAATTCTAAACAATCATCTAAATAATTATTGATTGAAAAATGCTGACATATTACTTAAAGTTTAAATAGGATATCAAGGGATGATCAAGCGATGATCTTGCGCAGTGCATATATATAGTGTACATATATACTTAATATAGTGTTATGTATAAATGTATGTAGACATGCATAAATACATTTACTATGTCATTAAATTTGAAATTAGATTAAATAAGATTCGTAAAAGATAATAAATCTTATAAATTAGGTTTAAAACTTATTAAAAATTAATTATTTTGGTAGGTCAGAAAAGTCTTATTTTTTATTAGATTTAAAATTTATAAATCTACTTCTCTTTTTTTTTAAATTTAAAAATAATATGGGAAAGAATACAAAGAATAGTACAAATGTCTCTTTATTTTTAACCCTAACAGTTTAGTGTTGTATTTTAGTCTAAAAATATGGGAGAGATCTTTGCCTATATTTAAACTATAAGCAGGTAAAGTGCTCCCGCTCTTAACCATAAGGGGGTAAATTGAATTTTGCCTAATAACATATATGCCTATAAATATTATAAATTAGTAAAAGATTTTACCAAGTTAAGATTTTATTTCAGAAAAATTTTAAATTTTGTAAACGAAATCTGATATATAATACTAGATAAAGGCAAACAAATAGCCATTATACAAGATAAGTAACAAAATGCTATAGATAATCACTTTTACTTTTATAAAGAAAATTTACTAGAAGAAATTACGCTTAGTTTTCAAAAATGGTATAAAAATTTAAGGTTTTTTTGAAATAAAATTTTAACTAGATAGGGTCTTTTACTTATTTGTAATGTTTGTGGGTTTATATTTTATTTTTATAATCCTTTCAGTGATTAAATATTTTAAGAATTTAATAGATTCACTTGATAGTTTAAGAATTAAATAGACAATTTAATAATAATTTAGTGGTCGAAAGTATAATAAACCCTTAAAATGTCATTATTTTTTTGTTGTTGGAACTGTTCATTCTCCACCTCAGAAGCCAGCATCAAACAAACAAACAAGTCACCATCTCCCTCTCTCATTCTCATCTTTCATTCACAGATGTCTCATGAACTTTGTTGCATGAACATGTGTTACCCTCACTAGAAGTGGTAGTCTCCAGATGAAAAAGTCGTCGACGGTTTGGTACTCAACCTCTTTATTGGTTGCAAAGTGTAAAGTGTTGCACGAGCCTTCTAAGGCTATGTTTGTTTGAGAATATGATCTTTGGATTTGATTAACAATTTAACAAAATACATAAATTCATGATTAGGTTAAAAAAAATTAGAATTTACACCAATAAGCTATGTGAAAAAACATAAAAGGAGAGTGGGATATTAAAATGAGAATCAAGAAAAAATTTAGATTAATTGACTAAATTATATATAAAAAGTAAAAATCTGAAGTATGAAATTCAAATATCCTACCCATATATCGATGGTGGGAAGAGTACAAGGAGTTCAAATCACGATATTTTCGGGACAAATACTTGGAGTCGAAACGGTTCAAATTTATGAACTTAGACATCCTTTGCAACCGAACTCCAAACAGTTTAGAGCCATAAATTTAGAGATCTGAGTACTTGGCTTCAAATTAAGAGTCCTAGAACACTTGTAAACTTTGAACTATTATGATATGAGATTGACACGTTAGAACCATTATGTGGTGTGTCCGAAAATAAACCCTCTCTCAAAGATGGAGAACTCGAGGATTAATTATTCATTCTTCATTCAAATAGCCTATACCCAAAGTCGAGGTGGCAGGACTTGGGGAGTCTCTTTGGACTTGGGACCATTGTGGCTGGAAGTCCTCTGGGATCACACCTAACCCTTATTTTGGGATGTTGGGAATTATTAGTTTGTTGGCTAAAGAGAATGATTGGTCGGGATAATTCATGAGGGGATTCCATGAAATGCTTTGCCATTCATTCTCTCTCTCTCTCTCTCTTGTTTGTTTTGACACTACAAGAAATTTCATTTTTTGTGACTAAAATTTTAGTCGTCAAAAGTCTTATTTTAGTCGCCAATTACTTTTGACGACTAATATATTTGGTTGCCAGATTGGTCACCAATAGTTCGTCGGGAAGACAATCGGCGACTAAAACTTTAGTTGCCATATATTTTTTAAAAATAATTAAATATATGTATTTTTTACTTTTAACGACTAAATTATTTAGTAGCCAAGTCAATTGAGCATGTATGTTTGGTGACTAACTATTTGGTAGCTAAAAGTTTCACTTTTTGAGAATTGGAAATTAAAAATTTAGTAGCCAAAAGTTTCTTTTTTACAATTGGCAACTAAAAGTTTGGTAGTCAAGTTTCACTTTTTGACAATTGGCGATTAAAATTTTAGTAGCCAAAAGCCAACCTGTGATATTTATTTACTCGCCAAAAGGTTTCATTTAGTTTTTATAATTTGTTCTATAATATTTTTTGCGCCGCCTGTCACCTGTGCAATACAAAATTATTCATTCATTCAATTCTCAACCATTCAATAAAACTATTTTTCCACAACCTGTAGCATTCAATTTTCAATGACATACAAAACTTAACTATTAACCGTACATATCAAAGAAAATAAGAATCTATAAACATAGTATAATTCAAGGTTTTGAAAATCGGACCGGCCTGTTCGACCGATTGAACCGTCGACCGGTTGGAGCTCCGGTCCAGACATACCCTCTGAATCGGCCCAAACTGAAAACCACTATATTTAGTGAGAACCGGAAAAACCGGCGGTTGAACTGGCGAACCGGAGCCGGGTTGTCCGGCTCGAAATTTTTTTTTAGTGTTTATTTTTTTTATTTTCTTTCTTTCTTTCTTATTTTATATTATTTATATATATATAATATAAGAATATAAGAAAATTTTAATTTGAAACTCTTTTTCAAGGGTCTCCTCTTGTGAAGAATCTCATTAAGAGCTTGATGAAATTATTGTGAAAGTTTTCACCTATTTATAAGAAAAAAATTCTTTCAAAAAGACTCAAGAAATTCATGTGGGATTCAATCAAATGTATTGGAGGGAATATTGAAACTTTGATATCTCTCCAAAATTTTTACTCTCCTTTCAATCAAATTATTTGAATTAAAATCATATGGAGGGAATATTAAATATTTGATTTCATTTTCCAAAAATGAAATTAATAATATTTTAAAATATATTATTATATTTTTCAATAAAAAAAATATTAGGACAAATCTTTAAGATAATTTAATAATTTTAATTTATAATTTTATTTCTTATATTTTTATTTAAATATAATTTTAATATATTTATTACGTCATGGTTCGATTCTGGTTCAACCCGACAGTTGAACCGGTGACCCGTCCACCTGATCCCTTTTTCAGTTCGCTCACTGGTCCGATTTTTAAAACATTGGTATAATCCAACAAATACATATACTATCCAAACCAACAATTAAAATTCAAATTAAAAAAAACTTAATAACAAAACATATCAAGTGTACATGCTTTCCATAAACAAAAAATATAATGTAAATTGCGCCCATGCAAACATCATCGATTTGGCCCAAAAACATCACTGTATCCATGCCAACATCATCAATCTGTAACAAAAACCAATGAGGTAAGTAATCAAAAATACAGAGCTTGATTTTTGTTTAAACAGAATACGATTCAATTTATTTAGTAAGTAATTTAGCTTATGGAGAAGGAAAAAATTAGATAACTAACTCAATTGAATTTAGATAAATAACACAATGAATATATCAATTGATATAGCAAGACTAAATATAGAAAAATAAGCCAATGATTCCTTTTAGCTTAACAAATTGTTATTTCAAAGATTTCAACTAAAATAGGCAAATAACGATTTGCAAGGATATAACACACAATATTAGTTATACAGCAACAAAGTGAGTTTATCAATTAGCTATTACAGTTAATTTAAGATGAATAGCACAATATTTATTATAACTGATATAGCAAGACTAAATGAGGGAAAATTAGTAAAGTAGTTAATTGAAAACACTATAAATGATGTTTTATTTAACAAATTAAGATTTGAATATGCAAGTAATGGCTTTAACAAATTAAGATTTGGAGCTGTTGTGGGCTTGATTTAGTACATGTTTGAGCACAAATTACACTGTCAATAAGTTAGGCTTGTGGCTTAGAAGTTTGAGAAGCCTAAGAGACATTTTATCAAACAGTTTGAAGGCAAGGAAAAAAAAGAAGGAAAAAAAAAACAAAAAAAAAAAACAAATCCTTTGTTATTAGGATCCAAATCTAAAACAACAACAAACTATTTTGACATTATAAGAATCCAAAGCAACAATCCATCTATAAGAATCCAAAACAATAACCCATCTTGAAGGTCTGATTTGGTTGTTTACAGAGGGATTAAAATCGATTCAGTGAGGTTTAGGGCAAAAATCGAGACCGCCATGGCGCTCTCCTTCATCTTCGCTCCCTTAATGCCTTTTTTCAGTTAAGTTTAATGCGTTTTCGGCTCTAACTCCCAACCTACACCTGCTAATTATATTCCGTTTGTTGTCACAGGTCCTATTTGTCACAGGGCAGGTGGCTGTGACATCCATACGGTAGTTCGGGGGCTGTTTCCCATTTTCGCCTCTTCAACGCTCTTTTTCGATTAAGTTTAATGTGTTTTCGGCTTTAACTCTCAACCTACGCGTGCTAATTACATCTTGTCTGTTGTCACAGGTCCTATTTGTCATAGGGAAGCTGGCCGTGACATCCATACGGTGGTTATGGGGCAGTTTTGCTTTTTCGCACCCTTAACGCCCTTTTTGAATCAAGTTTAATGTGTTTTCGGCTCTAACTCACAACCTACTCATGCTAATTACATTATGTTTGTTGTCACAGGTTCTATTTGTCACGCGAAAGGTGGCCGTGACATCCGAACGGTGGTTCAGGGCTGTTTCGTAGTTTCGCCCATTTACTGCCCTTTTTCGATTAAGTTTAAGGCGTTTTCGGCTTTAACTCCCAACCTACACGTGCTAATTACATTCCGTCTCTTGTCATAAGTCCTATTTGTCATGGGGAAGGTTTCCGTGACATTCGTATGGTGGTTCAAGGGTTGTTTCTCAGTTTCACCCCTCAACGCCCTCTTTCGGTTAAGTTTAAGGCGTTTTCAGATCTAACTCCCAACATACACGTGCTAATCACATTACGTCTGTTGTCACACGTCCTATTTGTCATAGAGAAGGTGGCCGTGACATCCAAACGGTGGTTCGGGGGCTGTTTCGCAGTTTCGCCCCCTTAACGCCTTTTTTCGGTTAAGTTTAAAGTGTTTTCGGTTCTAACTCCCAACTTACACCTGATAATTATATTTCGTCTATTGTCACAGGTCCTATTTTTCACGGGGAAGGTGACTGTGACATCCGTACAGTGGTTTGGGGGTTGTTTCTCAATTTCGCTCTCCTTAACCCCATTTTTTAATTAAATTTAAGGCGTTTTCAGCTCTAACTCCCAACATACACGTGTTAATTACATTCTGTCTGTTGTCACATGTCCTATTTGTCACGAGGAAGATGGCCGTGACATCCGAACGGTGGTTCGGGGGCTGTTTCACCCTCTTAACGACCTTTTTCAGTTAAGTTTAAAGCGTTTTCGGCTCTAACTCCCAACATATACGTGCTAATTACACTCTGTCTATTGTCACAGGGAAGGTGGCTGTGACATCCGAACGGTGGTTCAGGGGCTGTTTCGCGGTTTCGCCCCCTTAACGCCTTTTTTTGGTTAAGCTTAAGGCGTTTTCGGCTCTAACTCACAACCTACACGTGCTAATCATATTCTATCTATTGTTACAGGTCCTATTTGTCAAAGGGAAGGTGGCTGTGACATCCGAATGGTGGTTCAAGGGCTGTTTCGCAGTTTCACCCCCTTAACGCTCTTTTTCGATTAAGTTTAAGGCATTTTCGGCTCTAACTCCCAATCTGCATGTGCTAATTACATTCCGTCTGTTGTTACAGGTCTTATTTTTCATAGGGAAAGTGGCCATGACATTCGTACGGTGGTTCGATGGCTGTTTCGTATTTTCGCCCCCTTAACGCCATTTTTCGATTAAGTTTAAGGCATTTTCGGCTCTAACTCCCAACCTACGCGTTCTAGTTATATTCCGTATATTTTCACAAGTCTTATTTGTCACGGGAAAGCTGGCCATGACATCTGAATGGTGGTTCGGGGACTGTTTTGTAATTTTACCCCCTTAACACCTTTTTTCAGTTAAGTTTAAGACGTTTTCGGCTCTAACTCCCTACATACACGTGCTAATTACATTCCGTGTGTTGTCACATGCCGTATTTGTCACCAGGAAGGTGTCCGTGACATCCGTACGGTGGTTTGGGGGCTGTTTTGCATTTTCACCCCCGTAACGCCTTTTTTAGGTTAAGTTTAAAGCGCTTTCGGCTCTAACTCCCAACCTACACGTGCTAATTACATTCTGCCTATCGTCACAGGTCTTATTTGTCATGGGAAAACTGGCTGTGACATCCCTACATGCACCAATTAAATCTCGTATGTCCCCACAGGTCCTATATATATGCAAGACAAGTTCCAAATAAACAAAGATCATTTCAAAATGCATCCAATTAGAAGCATCAAATACTTTGTATAAATTTTCAAGCAAAATTGGCTACAAAAAATAAAAATGAAAGAAAGAAAAAAGGAAAGACAAAGCAATTAAAACTAATTACACAACAAATATCAAAAGGGCAAGCACTATGAGAGTATAAAATCAAACCAAAGTTTGGAGGTAATAAACAAATCCTCGCGCTTCACGATACCATCTTCAAACAACTTCTTCAAAACCAAACCAATCTACAAGGAAAGAAAACTAGATTAGTGCCTCCAAAACCTTCCAAGAAACTAAGAAATTTTCTCATTCCAAACAAATTATCTTTGACCATCGACGTGAGTAAGTTTATTAAAATCAAATCACCAATTACATTAATGTAGTCAGTTGCAAGTATGAATTCTAAATCATGGTAAGGATCAGAACTGATGAGACCCATCCTAGAACACATAATGGCTTGGCTTATTCACAAAGAGGTTCATTCTTGTTTAAGGTTACTGTGATGTAACCGGAGTATGGACAAAATAAGAAATTTTTTTTGTTAGATATTTTTAAGAAAAATGATACTTATATTGTAAGATCAACAATCATTATAAGAACAAAAAGAAATATGTCCACGCAAAAAAAAAAAAAAAAAAACCACATATTTTAGTTTACCCATATGCATCAACAATGTCCTAAAATGCATTTGTAAAGTGGTTGGTTCTGAAGTATGTTGGAGGTGGTTCCACAACATCCATTGTGTGAAATATTATACCCACTTGTGAATTGCTATCAATTATAGCTCGTTGCAGTGCTTCATGAATCTGCACATAATAAAACCTTTTCCTTTTTGATAATAATGTAATAAATAATAGAAGCAACTGCAGATATTTTGCCCAAAACAAGAATGACATAAGGAAAGACCAAAGTACCTAAGTTTTGGCAATTATTGGACACTAACCCTCTTTGACAAGACATTTTTTTGTAATATCAAAATTCAGCATGTTCAGTGTATCATACACAAAACCTGAAACAAATGAAAAATATAGAAATACATGTATTCCATAAAGACAAAAAGGCCCATACATATTTTGCTTGTCGTAAGAAAACTAAACTACATAATACACAAACATCAATCAAAAATAAAATGAACGTTGCAAGCCTGTAGGAAAATGCAGCCAGTCAATTTAAAAGCAGACTTCTTGAGTTAGTTGCCCTTGTTTCGTTATATCTTTGGGTACAAAATAGCAAATTGCACCAAATGCTTCACAAATTTTCAATATTTTCAATATTTTTGTCTTTGCTTGCTCCATCGAGAAAAGCACTACAAAAACAATTTTCTCAACTTGCACATGCAAAATACAAGCAAAATTAGTTGAATTTAGAAATTCAAGCCACAGTTTTCAAAGCAATAGAAGTACACCAACATAGCACTCTAGTGAAGAAAGCATACTATTAAGAAGTACAATATATTCAAGGTTTTCAGATTATGAGCTATACTAAGAAAATACATAGAAAGAAAATTTATCCCAAAAGACCGAAAGATAATAATATAAATAAGAGAATGACCACTTCAGTTGATACAGGATCCAAGATTTGTTCATCAGTTGGTGCCTGATTGAAAAGCATGTTGCCTTTTGTAGCACGAAACAACTTCCGCTCAAACTTAAGAGCTTTGAATTTATTGATAATGCCACTAATAAATCTTAAACCAAATTGATTTGATGGCCCAAGTTGCATCTCCTGTAGAATGGATTATCTATAATAAACGAAATCATGTTTATAGTTTCTACCTAAAGGGTATGTTTGATTGGAAGAATTAAAGCATGGGATTGGGATTATTAATCCGTGGGCCCAATCATCCTATGTTTGTTTTGACACTTTGATTTAGGATTATTAATCCAATGGATAATTAATCCAACAAATTTGTAGGATTATTAGTAATGGGGTAGGGGTGGGATAGTTAATACCACACTAATTTGATAGGATTATTAATACCTCACTATTAGTGTTGTGAATCAAACATGACCAAACAGTATTTGACAAAGCAGACAATTACTTATTCAAGTAAAGATACTATATCTGCATAGACATCATTAGAGTACACAAGATCATCTAACTCTCTTTCCTCTTTAATTGCATGGCTCTTACTTGAAACAAGGAAATCACTTTCCTGGAATTGCGCATGAGAAGGCATAAGAAAAGCATCTAAAACTATATTTTGGATTGAAGCTTCACATATGCACACACTCAAGATAGAAAGAACACTAAAATTATTTGGCACAGATTTATTCAACCACAACTTTCACACTATATTTATACTTCATCTAAGTACTAGACATGTTAATAAGAAAGAAACAGAGATCATTTGATGGCTTGGGGCTCATCAGCCATTGTTTGAAAGCATTGGTTTGTAAAAAATTCTTACCGTCAAACACCTCAATGCTTTCAAACACCTCATTTTAGACTTTCTCTCATATATAAATTTGATATTAAGATTCACCTAGTAGTGACACACTACTATAAAAAATAAAAATAAATGAATAAATAAAAGCAATTAGGCCTTAAAGTCGAAATTAAGAATATAAGAGTCATCCAACAAATTATTTAAATCTTAAATTTCTTCAATTAACAAGAATTCCTTATAGTAACAGAAACAGTTGTAATAATTAATTTTAAAAAAACACAATTATCATCAGCTTCCAAGAACCATTCGAATTAAACTGCAAAATCTCAACAGGTTGACTCTAAACTTCACATTTATCACCACTAATACCCATGAATCAGCACTAATGACCAAAGCCCTCTTTCCAATATGAAGAATTTCATCAACATTAGTGGAACTCAGTAGAGTATTCCAGGATACTTGACAGCTATCAACCCAGCTCCTAAACACTCCAAAGCAGGACACACAACTGCAGGGATCCCAAATTTTTCCTTGATAAACTCAAATGCCTCACTGAACCCAAATTTTTCCCTCAACAAAAACAAAGAGAACTGTAAAATTAGCTAGACAATCTACCAATGCAACTCCAAATTTACTGCAATTTGAAGAAATTAAACCAAAAACAAGCTAAACAGGAACTTAAACTAAATAAATAATATAAACCCTAGAGCAACAGTGAGAAATGGGGAAATAGAGGAAGGGGAAGAGAGAGAGAGAGAGAGAGAGAGAGAGAGAGAGAGAGAGAGAGAGAAAAGCGAGCGAGAGGGAACCTGTTGGTATTGCAGCGGTGGCAATGTGATTTGCGGTGGTGTGGTGGCGATGTGCGTCTTACGGTAAACAACGGTGGTGAATGACTGCAGTGAGGTGAGGTTTGGTGGTGATTGGTTCTGTGTGTTTATGTGTGTGTGTGTAAGAGAGAGAGAGAGAGAGAGAGAGGGGAAGAACCCTGTTTTCAAAAATGCTAAGAAGAACTGGCGCCAATCTTAATGTTCCCACTAAAATTTTATAAACCTTTGGCGACCAAACTTGTTGTTTGTCGCCAAAGGTTAATTTATACCAACTAATTTATTTAGTAGCCAACATTTAACAAACAGCGACTAATATTTTAGTCGCCAAAAGTGACCATTTTGGCTACTAAAGGCATTTTAGTCACCAAAAAGAAGTATTCAACGACTAAATTTTTCGTCACCAAAGATAAAAGTAAAATTTATGTTTTTTATTTAGTAACTAAATAATTTAATAGGCAAAAATTACCTTACAGCGACTAAAAAAATTTTAGTCACCAAAAATGAGTATTTGCCGACCAGAACTTTGGTGGCCAAAGTTTAATAGCAAATATTATGCTAGGTTTTTGGCAACTAAATTTATTTTAGTAGCCAAAAATTGGTATACCACGACTAACAAAAATTTTAGTAGCCTAAAACATGATCTAATGCCGACTAAAATAATTTTTAGTCGCCTATTGTTCATATTTAGCAACTAATATTTTTTTTAGTCACCAATAATGAAGATACAATTACTAAAAAAAAATTAGTAGTTAAAAACCATATTCAACGGCGACCAACAAAATTTTTAGTCGTCTATTCTACAACTTTTGGCAACTGAAAAAAGTTTAGTCGCCAAATTTAGTCACCAAAAGTGTAAATGGTTGTAGTGTGATCTTTCACCCAATCACCATTCTCTCCATCTCTTCTTGAATCTATTTTGGTTGTCAACAATCTCTCGCCTCTCCCTTCTATTTTTAAAGGAATCCATCTTTTCCGGTACAGTTCATCTTTTCCAGCGAGTTTTCTAGCAAAATCAATATTTTTGGTGAGCTTCCAAGAACTGATCGCATACATTATAAATATAGGATATTTTTCAAATAGTATCATAATCGTAAGCCAATTCAAGCCTGGAATACGATATAAAATACAAATAATATATAAACTGACAGTTTTAAAAATGTCAATCTCATTAAATTCACAAATATAATCTTAGCTGTTAGTAATTCAAAAGAATTAAAACTAATGTGAGTCCTGGCTCAAATGTATAGTATTACATATGGGATAACATGCAAAAGTTGTTTACTTTTCAGGATTCATTTTTTAAAAAATTAAAGTTTCTACTTTTTGTATTTTTTGTTTTTACTGAATTTTTTAAATATTTTTAGTAATTTTTTTAATTTTTAGATACACCTAATATAAATACATTAAAAAAAGTATAATATTTGTTAAAAGAATCTTTAAAAAATTCACTAAATACCAAAAATGCAAAAAAAAAGAAAATTTAACACATTTTTGTATTTTTGTGTATTTATTGATTTTTTAAAATATTTTTTTTACAAATATTTTACTTTTTAGATACATTTAACTAAAGATGCATCTAAAAAAGTACAAAAATTACTTAAAATTTTAAAAATATTCACTAAAAATAAAAATAAAAATACAAAAGATAAAAAATAAAAAACTCAGTTTTTAAAAAATTGAAAGTTTATTATAGAGTGATTTTTGCCCTAAAAGTCTATGATAGAGCCTCATGTGTTCTATTTTTATTTATTTTTAGGCTGCACAAGAGTTAGGAATTTTATCAACTGAGCTAGACTTCTAGTTATGTACTGGTATGTTTTATCGATTAATTTTAAAAAAAAATTGTTAGAATATTTTTTCATAATCAATGAATTTAATTCTTGATGCTTGTGCCATAATAACTCTCGTATTATCATGAAGACACTAGTTATTCAAAAACATATACTATTCAAAATTTTATCTAAAAATCTATCAAAATTTTCAAAGTAGAGACTTTACTATATAAAAATTGAATATAGATTTATTTTTCTGGGTAAATTTATTCTTTTTTTTTTTTACGGACAATTGATTAAATTTGATATTAATTATGATATAGGCTATTCTCAAACCGTTCGAATCATATTGGGCACACCCTTAGGTATTGCAATGAAAACAATTATGCCCTTAAATCAAATCTATCTATATATGTATGTATATCTATATATTATATAAGGAAAAATGAGTTTTTAATTTACAAGTTTTGTCGGAGCTCCAATATTTCAATCTTAATTTTCTAATTTTTTGATTTAAAAAAAAAAAAAAACTCAACATTTAATGACTTCTCCCATACACACCATTTTCAACTTCTCCCATACACATCCTTTTCAACTTCTCCCATACCTATTTAATTATTTTGGAAATAATAGTTATCCCTTAATTTATGAATTTCAAATGGAAAGACAACAAAAATATTTAATAATCTCTTCATTCTAATTTCTGTCATTGATTTCCAAAAGAAAATATTAAAAACTATCTTCTTTTTCTCTCCCTCAAAAAATCAGATAATATTTTTCATGAGAACTGTGGGTACCTATCTATATCTTATATATTATATTATAACATAACAAAAAAAATTAAATTAAATTAAAAATCAGACATACAAACAGATAAAATTAATAAATATGATTTTTATTTATTCAGTTAAAATCTTTCTTTTACCTCTTAATATCCAATTTTAAATTTTAAAATTCTTTAAAGTCTATCTAAACAAATCTAATTTAAAAATATCTCATACCATCATACTTTAAATCAATAAAACTCCCATGTCTATCACATATCTAACTCACATCATAACTTACTTAAATAATAATAATAATAATAAAGAAGATAAGAATTAAATTAAATTCAAAACCATAGATAAATTCAATTAAAAAAAATAGAAACCCACAACTCCATCTTAAATAAATTGAAGGGAAAAAAAAAACAAATACAAACCACACAAAAATAAAGAAGATAATAATTTAGATATACATCTCAAAAAGATATAATTATATCTAATTTGAATTGTAGTTATCTATTTTTCTTTTTTAATGTATATCTATCAAAATTTTAAATCAGTTAATGAGACAAATTAATTAATTTTCAAGTCTTATTTAAAGAATAATCTGATTAGTCACCTCAACTCCGAGACTTAGCGAGTACTAGCGGAAAAGCTGACAGATTAGGCAGGGCGAGGTCTATGTTGTTGGGGGTAATGTCCTACCACTCCATAAATTTATTTGTTTTTTAATTTTATTTTTTTCTTGTGTAATTCTCTTCTTTTTTTTTTTTTTTTTTTTTTTTTTTTTTTTTTTTTTTTTTTTTTTTTTTTGCTTTTGTTTGGTTTTGGTTTTGGTTTTAGGGAGATTTATGTGTTTGTTTACAGGTTTACATTGTGGAGAAGAATCATTGGTGATGATGGTTGCAATCGAAGTATTTATGCCCATTCTGTACTAATAATTTTGATTGGATTTTGTTTTTTTCAATAAAAATAGTAAAATTGAAGTAAAAAAATAGGTATCGAATTTTTTTATTTTTTATTGTCATTTTATTTTGTAGAAAATGTGAAAATTTATTGGGAATTTAAGATTGTACTATAACATTTGATTTTTGTATAATTAGGTAAATTTAAAACTTTTAAATATCATTGTATTTTTTATTTTTATCCTCTTTCTATCCTATTATATCATTACTGCTATTTGTTAGTTTGTTAATCATAATTCAATTAATTAAAAATGAAAGCTTAGCATAACTTTTTATATATATTAATTAATTGGTTACTGCTATATTTGTATATAATAGCATAATGTATTGAGATGATCTCCAAATATAATTTTTATTTTTTTATGTGATTAAAATAGTCCATCTTAAAATAGTATATAGAGGAGTTAGATGGCTTCTTTTAATCCTAAAAAACCCAATCTATTTTTTTTTATACTTTTTAATTTTTTAAATTGAAACATCAGTTGTTTATGTCCACAAAACAAAATTGATAAACACATATCTAAAAGCTACACATTTTTTTCTTTTTCTTTTATTTTTTCTTTTTTTAAAAGTGTTGGCTTTTTGGCTTTTCGAAGGGTATTTTTGTGAATGTGAGCGTGCCAGCAAGGATCAATCAGTCCTTACAGAAATTGTGATTGCCAACCAATTATCAGACGATTGTGTTTTAGTTCTTTTCAGCCTCAATGAAGAGGACTTTTACTGGTGGCTTGACTTAGGAGAAGTTAATAGAAATAACAATAATATGAAGAACAATTGAAGTATTTCATAAAAATGAACACTTACAATGGTCCGAACTCAGCTTCAGAGAGGTTTACAACAGCAATCTACTTGAATCTACTTGAAGCTACTCCTATGAATCGAAGTGCAGTGCGGGTATTTAAAGTGCAGGTATTTAAAGACTGGAAATGTAAAAGATTGGAAAAGAAAATATATTATGTAAATGACTGGTTTGTATGATCTGAGTCCGTCCTTTTTTCTAGGGGCTCTCCTGCTATTTATACTCGTCAGTGATGACCTTCGAACTGCACTTCGAACCGTCGAACTGCTCCTCCATGATCGCTGATCATGCTTCCTTACAAGTAGCTCCATTACGCCATTACTGGCAGTTGAGCTTCCCTCTTGTACTTGAATTTGAATATGAGTAACCGTTGAAGATATGTCATCTTGCATCCCGTTTTTGATCTAGTGTTACTCAGATCATGTGAGGACCAATATTTGTTGCCACGTGTACGATCAGGATTAAAGGCTTGAATAACCTTCCTTTATTACCCTTACTCTGTCACGTGTCGAACTGTAACTGGCTTTTACAAAATATGTAGCCAACATTACCCCCCGCACTAATATACCCAATACTTGGTGATATTAGTGGATTACAGTTTTCCCGCGCCTCTAGATCGTGTATGGAGTCCAAATTCTGGAAATACAACCGTCATCCATTTGGTGATCATTTGCATTAACTCGTTGAACATCCCAATACCTTAGTATTCGAACAGGCTATGGCTGCATCAACTTCCCTTACTACTGATCAAGCATATGAAGAGTCTTTGAGTGATGTTATTCCTCCTCGAAAGAATCTCCACACATTCATTAGCCATCTTTACCCGCCCTTCTCTATTCAGGTAATGGAGGCTTTTGCAGATTATAAATCTTTG